AAAAAAAAAAATAATAATAACATAAGGCTGAAGAAACTTACACAGCACAGCACAGACCTTCAATAGGCATCCAGAGGGCTGCCTTCTGAGCCCTTTGTAAACACAAATTTGCAACTCAACAGAGGGAGACCTTTTACATTCACGATTTTATATTAGAGTAGAATAATAAATAAGGATGTAGACTCATTTAAACGGAATAATTTTCCCTTTTATTTATAAATTACTTTGGTAAGACTGGGCAGATTACCATACATGATAAGTCAAGGTGAGTCCTGGGGAGCAAAATACCCCAATAAAACACAAAAATAAAATGAAATAATGAGTTCAACTATAGGAGCAGGTTTAAAATCCAGAGCAGGATTAGTTTTGCTCTGACAACAGGATATTAATGTGTGGTTTGTATTTTCTACATATTTATTATCAATGAAAGTATTAACAGCTTTCTCCCACCAGTCCCTACATTGCTCCAATTCCAGAAAAAGGTCCCATTGTGATACTTTTCCACTACATTTAAAAGCAACCTCTATGACAAAAGCAGAAAATGAGCAATGGTCCATAGAAGCATAGGTTCTCATCTCATCTCTGCATTTAACTATTCTTTCTCTAGGCCGCTTTAAGGAAGATAATCTTTTTCCACCTCTAACATCTGAGACATAGTTGACAGCATCTCAATTTTTAACAGGTAACCTTAGAATGGAAGATTTCACAAGTTCCTTCTGTTGGGAGTACTGGGGTGAGAAAAGGACATACAAGACAAAGCCAAAAGCATGAGGCAATGTCAGGGAAAAGCCACTCTCTAGAAGAACGTGAAAAAATTGCCCCCAAAACACCCTGTACCTTTTTTCATCATGTCTCGGTCCAAGGCTACATTTCTTTGGGCAAGATTTACTTCTGATCGGAAATGAAAGCGCTTAGCTCGCTGTTCTTTTTTTTCAATGGCTTCCTAGAAAGTCCAGAAAAAAAAAATCAAAGAGGTAAAGCATAGAAACAGAAAGTTAAATCACAAATACATGATGCATCAATGACAACTCTAAAATAAATCAGAAGAAATAAGCAACACTGCACATTGAATGAGTTTTGCAAAAATCAGATATTCGCATTTAGAGGGTATAAAGTAATACTGTTATAATTTATAATCACCTCCATCCTAACACAGTTGATTACTATGCCTGGGACATAGTAGGAAATCAATGACTATATGTTTATGAAGTTTCATCTATTATTGGCAATCCCTCCAACAAATTACAATTAAACAATCTGAACGTTTCAATTTTCCAGCTGCAGAAACTGAGGCATAAATGAGTAAAAAAAAAAAAAAAAAAAAAAAAAAATTGCTGGATGTACTTTTTCTAGCTAAGGGGACAGATCTTCTAAATCCAATGCTATTTTTAAGAGCACTCCCTGCCACCACTTCACATTTTATGTGGGCACAGTAATCACACCTATCACCCTCTTTCACATTATGTCTGCCTGAAAAGTCCACTCCCTAAAGCTAGTTTCCTGTTTAAAAATAACACTGAAGCAAAGAAACTCCTCTATTCCATCCTTCAGTCCACAGAATTGCTTGTTTTCATTTTTAAGTGACAATAAGCACTGATGCTTTACTGAAAAAATAATCAGCTTTGTAAGTGTCTTAAAAGAGCTAAAATAGGGGCTGGGGATGTGGCTCAAGCGGTAGCGCGCTCGCCTGGCATGCGTGCGGCCCGGGTTCGATCCTCAGCACCACATACAAAGATGTTGT